CCCCCCCACCCCGGCTCCATAAATGCCCTTGTGCAGAGATATAGAGGTTCTCTGACCCCTGACCTCTGGGAGGTGCTGCAGAACAGCAGAGATGGGAAACAGGGGAGGGTGATAGGAGCATCGAGGCAGCTCCCTGAACTCAGTTACTTCTGTGAATATGGAGAGCTTGTGCTTTTCTTGTGACTGCTCATGCTAAACATCATTTCATGTGCTTCTGACTTCCTGGAGAAATGTCCAAACCCTTGGCCCAGCTTTTAAATTGGGTTATCTTTATTGTTGTAAATATACAAATTCAAAGGGCATATTTGCCCCACTCTCAGAAGTTATAAGTAATATTTTGTAGATTTTTAAGACTTAGTGCTCTTCTAGAGCTTCTCCTGGCCTTTCCATCAGCAGGAGGTAAACCCAGGACACTAGGTCCAACCTTTATCAGCCCTTCCAAGCTTGTTCTCTGCCTGGTGGACAACTAACTGCCCAGGAGATGACGTAGTCCAGGTCCTTGTGATCCAGCTGAAGAGCTGCCCCCATGGTTTCTGGGTCCCTGGTCACAAGCACAGGATGTGCTGCTGATAGCATGTTGGCCTGCAGGCAGACGTTCACTGTCAGGAATTTGCTTAACCTCTGAAGGTTAATTCCTGGCACTACCTAGAAGGGCTGATACAGAAGGAGAGGTGCTAGAGAAGGGGACAGACTCCCACCTGATGCCTCTGCTCTCCCCTCATACCCTGGAGAAAGCCCCTCCCAGGTCCAGGGTCCTCATCGGGGAGCAGCCTGGTGCTTACCCTTCATGCCTGGTAAACACATATTGGAGCTCAGATTGGTTCCACTAGTGCTGGGTGTGCTGGAGTCTCTGCATGAAGGCTAACTGAACCCCAGCACAGTATACTAGCCTTGAGGGCTGTGTGCAGATGACACATTACTGACATCTTCAGTTCCCTTTGCAGGACCCTGGCTCTGTAGTGGGTTTGAGCTGTCCCAGATTTTCATCATTAAGTTGGTAAAGTGCCTGAGGCTCAGGTGGGACAGGAACACCAGCTCTAGGAAGGCAGGTCCTGACTGGAATTTCACCTGGGCCTCAGCTACAGCAGTTCTTTCCTAGTCTCTGAGCCTGGAAAATGGAGTATATAGTAAACTTCCAGTTCAACTGGCGTGTGATGTGCACAAAATGTTGTGAGTTCATCTGTCCAAGTGTCATTTAATTCACTAATTTGTGTGAGTACTTATGAATGTAGTTTCCACAGAATACATCATGATCCAAGTGATACTGTTCTGTTGATGGAGTGTTTAATACTAATGGTGTCCATTTGTCCTCACGAGCTGAGTGCATAGAAGGCAGAGCTATAGTTCTAACTCAGAAATTAGACTCCATGGGCTGCAGTGCAGTCCCTTCCAGAACACTTAAATGAATTTAAAACAGTTAGCAACTTTTATGTTGATAACTATACAAGGCTCTATGAGAAGGAAGGCAGAGTGACAGCACTAACCCAGAAATTAGACTCCATGGTCTGCAGTGCAATCCTTCCTAGACTGCTTACATGAAATTAAGAGTTAGCAACTTTTATGTTAATAACTGTACAAGGCTACATGAGAAAGAAGTACCTTGATCTGGAGCATGTGCAGCTCACCTCTCCCCATAGTGCCCTTGGCCTGCTCATATCTCCCCATCTTGACCATGACTTCACATTTTAACACTGACCATAACCTCTTATTGGTCCTCACCTCAACCTTAATTTCCCCTAATGACCTTGACTTTTCTTTGGGGGGCGGTCCATGGATCAAACTCAGGATCTTGCATTTGGGAGACAGGCACAGTGCAGTGAGCTAAATCCCTGGCCTCTGACCTTCTTACCCTGACCATGCTGTCATATAGTTCATCTATCTCCATACTGACTGACTTTGATCCCCCCACATTGACTTTGATCCTCTCACACTGACCTTGCCCTGTCTCTTAGTTCATGCCTTTCTTGTTGTGTTAGTTATCTTTACTTTGGTGTGACAGAATACCTGGGAAAAACAACTTACAGGAGGACAAGATTTATTTTGTTTCATGCTTTCAAGTTTCAGTCCATGATCTCCTGGCTCTAGTGCAGACAGATCACAACGTGGGGCATGGTGGACAAAAGCTGCTCACCTCATGGCAGCCAGGAAGTGGGGTGAGAGAAAAAGCCAGAAATGGGCAACCTTTAAAGCCACCTTCTACCAATGACCTGCTTCATCCAGCTAGGCTCCACCTCCTAATAAGCCCTTTTAGCTTGTGAACTAGCTCATAAATGGATTAATCCATTTGGTGAAGTTAGAGCCTTCACAGTCCAGTTAGTTCCCAAGCCCATCAGCTGGTAATCAAGTCTTCAACACAGTGGGCCTTCTGGGGGATATCTTGGATTCCACCCCTAACAACTGGTCTCTTGGTTCCCCTCCCTGCCCACACTGATGTGACCTTTCCTTGCCTCATCCTTATCTGTCATCCTGAACCTTGACCTGCTCATCCAGTTAAGGTGGCTCTCTTCTTCTGTCCCTAGACTTCGATCTGCACCACTTCTGGTACTGGAGCAGCTTCACAGACTATGTGCAGTGTGTCCTGGCCTTCACTGGTGTAGCGGGCTACATCACCTACCTGTCCATCGACTCGGCCGTGTTTGTGGAGACGCTGGGCTTTCTGGCTGTGCTGACTGAGGCCATGTTGGGTGTGCCGCAGCTGTACCGCAACCACCGCCACCACTCCACAGAGGGCATGAGGTAAGGGGTACTGCTGTGGAGGATCCCACAGCACTGTGACACTGTCCAAGTACCTACAGATACAGGGGAATCAAACAGGTGGACACATCAGTCCTTTGGTCCCTTGTCTGGGTGGAGGCAGTCATGTGCAATGGGTTGGAGGAGCCCTCTGCTGAGGTGATGACCTGCTAGAGGCTGTAGAGCTCCTGCAGGCCCATTGAGCTTAAGACTTCGAGGAGCAAAGTGCTAGAGTGGCTTGATGTGGCAGGCTGACTGCCCACAAGACAAGGGGTAGGGCAGGGCTTGTGACCCTGCCATGGATGCCATTAACTGTGTGGCGCTGCCCCATTGGGACCAGCTTGGCATCCAACTGCTAACGTTGGGCAGAGGTGCAAGTGCAGTGAGGACCAACCACACTGAAGTAGTGCTGCTTGTGCATGGCAAGAATAAGCTCCAAAGATGATATCTGGCACATCAACAACACAGGTTCGTTGGAGATGCTGAAGGAAAATAGTTTTGCTAAAAACAGGTGAACTGTTGAGGAGGAAGTAGCCCAGCCTGTTATTTAGCTCAGTACCCTAGTTCTTGCTGAGGACCCCCATCCTACTTCTCACAGAGGACCCAATTGCTACTTTTCATTGAGGACCTCCATCTCCTTCTTACTGAGGACACTAAAGGTATGCGTTGAGATGTAGGTATGCACTGTAAGTAGAGGCATGTGTTGTGGATTGAGGTGTGATGTGTGGTGCATATATAAGGTGTGAGTGCAGGTGTGAAGTGTGGATAGAGGTGTAGTATGGTGCAGGTGTATGGTGTGGCTAGAGGTATGAGGTGTTGGGACAAGTCTGTGATGTGGGTGCAGGTGTGAGGTTTAGGTGTGAGATGTGGGTGCAGGTTTGTGGGTTCAGGTATGAGATGGTGCAGGTGGAGGGTATAAGTACAGGTGTGAGGTATGAACAGGTGTCGATGCAGGTGTGAGTAGTGGGTGCAAGTGTAGGGTATAAGTGCAGGAGTAGATTGTGAGTGTGAGGTGTGAGTGCAGTGTGGAGTGTGGATGCTGGTGTAGAGTGTGCATTATAGGTGTAAGGTGTGGGTGCAGGTGTGTGCTGTGGTTGCATTTGTGTGAGGTATAGGCATAGGTGTGGGCTCCAAGTGGTGTGAAGTGTGGTCATGGCTGAGTTAAGTACAGGTCTGGGCTTTGCTATAGTGTAAAGGTAGGAAGGAGGGATCTGAGCTGGTGAGTGTGACCACAGCAAATGAATATCACTGGAGTCTCTGGAGTTGCCTAGTGAGGTGGGTGGAAGCCTGGGAGGTTTCCTCATTAGTGGGGCTGACCCAGGAAGATCCTAGGGCTCAGGTTTGGGCTTGCACAGGAGGGCAAGTGGGCATGTAAAGTGAGTGTCTGCTCTAGGTGTGTTGCAAGGCTTGTGGAGCAGTGGCTATGGAATTGGGCATGGACTTAGCACGAGAGGACCCCCATTGTTCTGTATGGAGTTCCCTAGGTGCTCCATGCTGGGAGATTCCACAGAAGGTCTGGTGTACTAAGCCTTACACCCTTATACTCACACCTGCGCGTATGGTAGCCATGTGGTGAGGGCGTGAGGCCCAATCCAACAGTTCGAATCCTGTCCTTTCCCTGCTGGTTAAGGTCTTACAGAGTGGTCTCTCTTTCTAGGAGCATGTAGGATGGGGTGTGCATTCTGCCCAGTGAAACCCACTCAAAGGCCCTTCCCATAGACCAGCATTCCAACTCCCTGGAGGAGAGCATATGTTCTGTGGAAGCCACATGGTTTGCATAGGAGCTGTCCTTGTCTGGTCACGAATGTGGGTATCTGGGCCAGAGATTTAGCATAGTGGTATTGCACCTGCCTCACAAGAGCGAGGTCCTCAGTTCAATCCTTGGTACTGGAAAAAAAAAAAAAGAATGTGGGTATCCTCCCTAAATCTGAGTTCCCAGGGTGGGGCAGCACAGGCCTTTCTCAAGACTTAGGCTCAGGTATTAGGTCATTTCTTCCTGTGTATATGACCACTTCAGGGACTTGGTGGAAGGGAGAGTATAGCTCTTAGTACTGTGGCCTAGGGGTCCATTTTCAGCATGAATGTTGGAGGGACCCAAATTTTCAGACTCAGGGTTAAGGTATGAGAATGGTGTCTCCAACCTGCTTGGGAGCACTAAGACCACAACTGCTGCTGCTCAGGTGCCGCTTGCACCTCAGTTCTTGCCAAGATTTTAGCATCATCCATGGGCAAGTTCTGGAAGCCTGGCATCTTTTCTTCAGGATCAGAGATATGTTTTACACCCCTAGCATTAGATGCCAGGGAACTTTTAGCCTCTCTCTTTTTTTGGTACTGGGGATTGAACTCAGGGCTTTGTGCTTGCAAGGCAGGTAGCAGAACCACTGCGCTAAATCCCCAGCCCCTTAGCCTCTCTGTTTCCAGCTGAGCGCTGAGGCACAATGGAGAAGGCAGCATGGAGCTAGAAAGAGATGGGTATGCAGAGACCTGTAGCTCCCTGCTGAGGCTTTTTTGGGACAGACACTGGGCTGTTTTGGGTGCTTGCCTGTTCCCAGTGCTGCAAGGTTGATGCTGGTGCTGGGGTCTTTCTGTGGTTCCCAGAAAGGTCTTTCTTGCTGGATTATCTCCTTTCAAGCTCTGAGCAGGGTCCACAAATCTGTTTCTGTTGGACTCGTGTGCTGCCCTTGCCCCATTCTGGGTTCTGTTCAAGCTCAGACATGTGTTGTCTGTGTACCTCCCAGACACTTGTTGGATTGCCCATCAGGAAGCCTGACTGGAATGCCTCAGGTTCCTGTAAACCCTGATTTTTCTCTAGCTGGAGCATTGTGGCACGCACAGATCTGGTGGGATTTGTGAATTTTGAAGCCATTGTGATCAGTGGTGTCTGAAAATGAATTTCATAGAGTATAGGTATTTCCAATGTTGGATTTAAAACAGTGAACTAAAATATGTATGGAAGTATAAGTGCTTTTAGATACATAAAAACCAGGAGTTTGGTGGGAACGGGTAACATGACAGTGTGAAGATTTTGCCTTTTTCTCCAGGGACCCAGTAGCACCTCTACCCTCAGCTGGGGAGGTAACCTCAGCTTCAACTGCACCTTAAACAGTAGGTCATTAGGATGCTTAACACCAGAGAGAGACTTGTGAATTCTTGAGTTGCCTAATTCGAGTAGCCAGGTAGCAGACCTCCTTCTGGAAAATCCTACCTTAATGGATACACGTGCACACATACACCTGCACACTGGTGTGCACACCGTGTGCACCTAGACCCCTATGCGTTTAGATGCTTGCACATACATTCATGTGTCCTCTATGTACACATACTCATGCATACATATGTGCCCCCCACATAGGTACACATGTATACAGAGGAGTGTACATACATGCCTACACACAAGTGTGTGCAAACAGACATGCACTTAGACTCATACACGTACATGCACACACGTGTGCTTCTGTGCATATACTCATGTACACGAAATGCCCCCAGGCACATATTGTATATACATGTTCAAGTGGGTCTATGTACATATACATTCCTATACCCACAGGCTTGCAACTAGATATATACCTATAGATGCTTGTACACTTATGCATAACACACATACACACATGTGCCCCTTCATGCATACAGGCACCTAGAACCACACACACACATCACATACCCTCCCACATGTACACACAAACACTGCTTCCACCTTGGAATAACTACCAGAGATACTTTGGCATAATAATTTCCCTTTTGAAAAACAGGAAGTGGTTGTGACTTTGGAACCAGTGACAAGAAATGATGAAGCTTTTAAAATAACTTTACTAATTAAAAGTTCTGAAAGGCAAATTCTATGGGGATGTTTGCATTCTTCTTCCTCCAGGTTTTACTAGATTTGAAGACTGTTCCCTAACAAGTAATTATTGGAACACAAAGGTGGGAGCAAATAAGAAGAGGGGGCTGAGCATTCAGCAGCCTCCAGCATTAGCACTTGTTACTATTGAGGAACAGGGAAGTAATGTGCCGGGAAAAACATTGGTAATGTAGAACTTGGAGGCAGAGACATTGTAGATTGAGGGGGGCAGGCACCCTGGTGCAGGGCCAGGGTTGTGAGTGAGGGTAGAGGCCATATGAGGACAGGGTGCTAGAGAGCAGGTAGGTGTGGCCAGGGCATGGAGGAGGAAGCTGAGGCACAGGCCAACCTTCGTGGCCGTGGTGACTGGACTTTATACCACATCTGTGTGTCCCTTCAGAGTCATTCCAACCACTCGGCTGAGTCCTCTGAGACTTTGGCCCTCATGGCATTGCAGCTTGCTTCCAGGAGCTGGCTCTGCACCTTACCTGTCTTGTGCAGGCCCCTTGGATTCATAGCCTTTTTGGGGACAGAGCATCTCTTTGTCACTCTTACAAGAGGTCGATAGATATGTGAGCGGAAGGTGCTGTGTACCACATGTGTGATTAAGCAAGCCCTGGAACACACAGGCTAATTGGCCTGTCCACTGGAACAGGGGGAGCTGGAATAAAGAGTTAAACCAAAGCCCTGGGACATTAAAAAATACAACTCAAGTCAGATATAATTCACATGCCATAAATTGCTAGAAGTGTACCATTTAATAGCCTTAGTGTACACAGTTTGTGCATCAGTCAGTCTAATTCTAGAGCACTTTTAGCACCCTACAGTTTGAATTCCATACTCATTTGCAGTTATTCTCCATTTGTCCCAGTCTCCTACATCTGCCACCCCACCGCCACCACCACTAATCCACTTTGTCTCTCCTGTTGTTCCTTTAAATCTGGCTTTTCCGTAATGGAATGTTTTCAGGGTCCATCCACATTGTAGGTGTGTTAGTACTTCATTCCTTTTATGGCCAAAAATGCTTCATATGAATGTACAAGGTAATGTTTATCCATTCTTTAGTTGATGGATATTTGGATTGTTCAGCACCTTTCAGGCTTTTATGAATAATGTTTCCTTGTGCACATTTTTAGGTGGATGCTCTTGGGCAGATGCCTAGGCATAGGATGGCTGGTCATTTGGTAACTCAGCGTTTGAGGAGCTAAAGCTGTTTTCCATGGTGGCTGCGCCACTAGCTTTGTCCTGATTTCCCACATCCCTTTCCACACTTGTCTGTCTTTGGTTCCAGCCATCCATGTGGGTGTGTGGTGGTGTCTTGTTGTTGGTTTTGTTTGTTTTGCTATACTGGGGGTTGAGCCCACGGTCACATGTATACTAGGCAAGTACTCCACCACTGGGCTACATCCTCAGATGTTTTTATTTTTTATTTTGAGACAAGATGTCACTGGATTGCCCAGGCTATCCTCAAACCTGAAATCCTTCTGCCTCAGCCTCCTGAATGGCTGGGATTACAGCACCACTGTGTGTAATTCATTGCAGCTTTGATCTGCATTTCCCGAGTGACTAATGGTATCGAGCACCTTTTCATGTGTTTATTTTCCTCTGTTATATTTTCTTTGCAGAAATGTCTGTTCAGGCTCTCTGCCCTTTTTTAAATTGGTTATTTGTGATTTTTTTTTGTAATTAATGGGTTGTAAGAGTTAAAATATATATAGATATAGATATAGATATAGATATAGATATAGATATAGATATAGATATAGATATAGATATATCCTGGATATTAGAATGTTTGTTTCAAATACATGATTTACAAATATTTTCTCCCATTCTGTAGCTATCATCTTCATTATTGCTGGTGTCCTTTACAGCATAAGATTTTAACTTTGATGAGTCCGGTGTATCTGTCTTTTTAATGCTCGTACTGTTAGTGTCTCAGTGAAAAGAGCTTTATGTAACCCAGGATCATAGACCACATTTAGAGGTCTACTTTGGGGAGGTTTTCATTGCGGGTGAGCTCCTGTGGTAGAAGAATTTGTCATGGCTGGGGGCGGAATGTACCGGCATGCCTGTGTGAGCCACGGCTGGAAGGCAGGCTGAGCAGGTGCAGGAGCTGGCTCTCACCTTCCTGGCATGAAGGGGAAAGGCATTCCTGATGGCTGCCCAGGGCAAGGATGAGGTGAGAGATATTTTAGGAATAGTGACCTGACATTCCAGTTTGGAGGAAGAATATTAGAGCTGAGGATGAAGTAATGGGAACCTAGATTAAAACGGTGGGGGGAGGTCAGGCCAAGAGGTACTGAAGAGGGCAATAGCCACAGCAGGAACCTGAAGAGGGAATCATAACTGCTCCCAGGCCATCAGCCCACAGAATGAGCTAGAAGTAGAAAACCTGGGTCCCTGAGTGACAGTTCCCCTCCCACTGGCTCCACCTACAGGGTTCTGTGTCCCTAGGGTGGGCTTCCTGAACTGTAGGTATCTGCTGATTAGAACCAGCACTTTCCTCTGCCCAGGGGTGGAGAGACTTGGGAGGAGGGTGGCTCACTACTAGTTGGCCAAAGCTAGGCTCAGGATGCTTCAGAAAGCTGCTGGGTAGCAGAACTTCTGGGACTTGCTCTTTGCAGATGCTGTTGAGGCTGAAGTATTATGTAAAACTCAGTGTGGGGAAGAAAGATAATTCATTGTCTTGGGAAGTAACACACTGAAAATTCCAGCAGGCAGACTGTATGCTCTGGGATCATGTAGAACCTATGTCTGCCCTTCATGGTGCCTGCAGTGAGAACAAGTCAGGCAGGCTGGACCCTAGCACCTGACCTGCTGACTCTCTTCCCCTGCCCATCCCTCAACGGCAGTTACATTCCTGTCCCAGGGAGCAGCTGTGTGATCACCCACAAGATGTCCCACTTGAAGTGCAAAGGCAAGCTGAGCACTTAGGTAGCTAAAACTATCCCTAGGCATTGGGTAGCACCCTGTGCCAGCAATGACCTCATGTCTCCCTTGCTGTGATGGACAGTGTGCCTGTGCACTCAGGGATGCAGGGTCACTCACAGCAAGGAGTGCAGGAAGATTGCTTGCGACAGGGACAGGTGGTCTTGGGGTCAGGACTACAGCTGCACTTCTTGTCACCCTGGACCCTGTCCTTTCCAGGCTTTGGAGTTAAATCCATAGGATCTCACACCTGCTTACTGTGTGATGTGATATTGGGAGAATCACTTAACCTCTCTGCCCAACAGGGTCACCAGGCCCCCTCTTGGTGTTTTGTTTATTTGCAAGAATGGGGGATTGAAGTCAGGGCCTTTGCACACATCCCCAGATTTTTTTTTTTAAAGACAGGATTTCATTGTGTAGTTCAGACTGGCCTTGAATTCACTATGTAGCCCAGGCTGGCCTCAAACTCATAGTGATTCTTTTGCCTCAGCCTCCCAAGTGTTGGGATTTATAGGTGTACGTCACCATGCCCAACTCTAAACATTTTTTTTATTTTGAGACAAGGTCTTGCTAAATTGCTAAATAATCCAGGCTGGGATAGAATTTGGACTCTCCCTGCTTCAGCCTCACAGAGGGCTGGAATTATAAGTATGTGTCAACATGCTGGCTACCTCTTAGGTTTTTTGTTTGTTTTTGTTTTTTGGTTTTTTTGAGACAGGGTCTCACTATGTAGTTGAGACTGACCTGGAACTCACTGTGTAGCCCAAGCTGGTCTCAAACTCACAGCAGTCCTCCTGCCTCAGTCTCCCAAGTGCTGGGATTACAGGCATGTGTCACCATGCCTGGCTTACCTCTTGATGTTTTGCACCTGCCTCTGGCAGATGCTCAGAACATGTGCAGTTGTGAGAGGCAGCTGCCTTTATCATGGAGCTCTCACATTCACTGCAGGTTGTCTAGCTTTGTAGCACAGCAGGTAAAAACCCAGCCTAAGTCACACCTGATTTCAGTCTCTCAATAGGCCACTAGTGTGCTTCTGGGTCACACTGTTGACCTCCTTATGTCTCCCTGTTCTCCTGGGTCACTGCTGATCTCCATGTGTGTCCTGTCTTCCTGATTCACCTCTGACCACTCTTTTGTTTCTCTGTAGCCTCAAGATGGTGCTCATGTGGACAAGCGGTGACACCTTCAAGACAGCCTACTTTCTGCTCAATGGCGCACCCATGCAGTTCTCAGTCTGTGGCCTGTTGCAGGTGCTGGTGGACCTGGCCATCCTGGGACAGGCCTATGCCTTTGCCCACCATCCCCAGAAGCCAGTGCCCCATGCAGCGCATCCTGCCAGTGCCAAGGCCCTTTGAAGCATTCAGGGAGAACAAGGACATGTGACTGCCAGCCTTCGGCACCAACTAGTGCCTATGCTCCTTGTGTTAGGGAGGGGTCCTGTGGTCCATGCAGAATGGCCATGTCGGCAGAGACAGTCTGGGTGCGGGTTCTCCATCAGCCTCTGGATGGGGCACTCAGGGCAGGCGACCTAGGGTCAGCATTCATGCTTACCTCCATAGGTATTGTGAAAGTGGATCTCACACTCAGGGCCATCCTTCAGGTGTTTTCAAGGTGTTGGACAAAATAAGTGTCTTCCCCCGTCCTCTTGGAAAACACTGGCCTGACCCTGAAATGGATTTGCAGTCCTGTAATGGGGGGCTGAAGGCTCAGTGACCTTCTTGGCCTGGCCCATAACATAGCCTCCCTGGGTGATCCTGGAGGAAGTGAGCTTTCAGCTCCAGGGACAGCAGGTGGGGATCCCAGCTGCTGGTGGCCCTGTCCTCACACTCTGTTCCCCCATCTTGCCAAGCTATGAGTCCACTGTATCTGGAGGTGGGCACCGCTGGTCTGACACTTGTCACTGTATTCTGCCCCTTTCAGTTTAACCTGAGGTCATGCCATTCTCTGTAGTCCTACGCTGACCTGGCCATTTCTGGATAGAATTCCAGATGCTTTTGTGTGGTTCCTGTAGGTGGCATCTTTCCTTCTGCTGGGCAGAGGGGCTGCTTCTGGTGCACAAGTCTCTGCTGTCTGTAGTCAGCACCAAAGCCCTGCTGCAGCTACTGTGTAACTTGCTGTGGCTGGTGGGAAAGCTTCAGTGCTATCTCCACCTTTTGAGTTTCCCTCAGAACTCTTGAATGCTTGAGTGAGGCTCTTGCTTAGCTCTTTGGCTTATAAAGATGCTTTGAAAAACATGTATTTTTTTAAAATGAAGAGAGATATGTCTAGTGGTAATTCTCTCTAAATTAAAATGTCACTGATTGCAGGCTGCAGAACGAATGTACCCCATATGGCAGCTTTGCCACAATAAACTGCTTATATATCCATTCTGGCCTGAGGATGGAGTCAGAGCCAGCCTGGCAAGACAGGGCTCGGGGTGAGTCAGGATTGAAGGGCCCATCAGAGAACTAGGGACGGACCTGGCGCAAGTTTGGTCATAAGAGAGTGCTTGGTGATTCAGCCAGCAGGTTCTGGACTTTCTGGACACAGGTTACTATCCTCAAGGATGACAGCTAGTTCCATGTAAGTTCAAGACCTATGGCAGTGACAGGATCGTATACATTCAAGGATGTGGAGCCAGGAGGCTTTGGGGGATCCCTGGTATCTGTGGCTGTAACTGAGGAAGCTGAGGTACAGACAAGCCACAGCCTTCCCCCCAACTCACTGGCTTTGTTGTCTGGTCTCTGGTCAGATGGCCCCTAAAGGGCCTTCAGATGGCCACAGCAGTCGTGATGCTGTGTTCTCACAGTCCAGTGGCCAGAGCATGGCCATCCTCAGCAGCGTTTGCGGGGACTAGGAATGGGATCTCAGCCCAGCTCCAGGTTGGGGGTGTGGTGAAAATAGCCACATTTTTTTTAGCTCAGTCATGTGACTGCTGTCCTGAATGACTTCAGTCACTTTGAGCAACAGATGTACCCAGGAAGCAGCTAGTATATTGTCAAGTCTCCTCAGAGTCCCACAGCAAGTGTTTGCTGTGAGGATTTGATTCAAGTGTGAGGGAGTGGGCTGGCAGGAATCTGGAGGGTTCTTGTTTCCTGAAACCAGACAGGAAACAGACCCATCCCAGCCAGCCCTCTGCTTTTCCTGTGTGGGAGGGTGGTTCCCCTGGTGTCTTCAGAGGGTGAAGGAGCCTAGGGGCTGGGTAGTCTAATGCCTTAGCAAGAATGTGTCTGCCCCACCCCACTGTTCTCAGCAGAGCTGGCTGACAACAACCCCTTCGATCTGGTGACCCAGGGTGGCCTCTGGCATTCTCAGTCCCTGGTCTTGGGGGCGCCTGGGTGCTAGCCAGACTTACTACAGATCCCACTGGTCATTCCCCACCATGTACCTGGCCTCTGAGGAATAAGCTAGGTTTAATTCCAGGGGTGTTCATGGTGCAGGTCAGTACCTCCCGTACAGGAGGAATTATCTTGTCCCTGGAAGACATGTAGCAGAAGGTGTGGCACCTTGAACTCCAGCCTAATATAGGAGGTTGACTGTCTTAGTCAGTGGCAGCCTGGTTGTGGAGCCCAACCCCAGTTGAGGGCCCGTGCCAAGAGGAGGTGGGCCAGAGCACAGGATCCTTTAGGTGCCTTCTGTTGCCAGCCCAGCTTTGGAGGAAGCTCTGGCTCTTGATTCACCTGGTCCCTGCATTTTTCCTAGCCTTTACTGCTGGCCTTGATCCTGGTGTGTAGCCTAGTACGGAGAAGAGGACTTTGCCCCCAGGGAGTCCAGGAACCAGATGCTTAGCAATACTGGTTCCCGGGTCAGGTTTCAGCTGGGTGCCATATCTAGTTGAGCCATCCTGGGCAACTACTCCCAAGTCTGAAATAAGGGTATTTTTTCCATCCTAAGGAGCTTTGTATAAGGACCTGAAACAAAGTGGGGCAACCTAAGAAGTAGCCACGTGGGACAGTGGATTCTCCCATGTTTATTCACCTCCTCACCTAGCCCAGGAAGTATGCTGCTTGGTCACTGGCAAGACCAAGTTATTATTTCCCTGTGTCCCCTCTACTTTTGCCCTTGACTGGCAGATGAAATGGGTGGAGCCAGGTACCTGTGTGCATGCTAATACATTGCTAGGGGTAAAGGGGAGGAAAACAAGGGTGGGGAGCTGAGGCCCAACCCACACCACCTGCCAGAACCCAGAGGCAATATGGAAATCCCAGCCCAGTCAAGCACCCCGGGGAGCAGGGGCCCTGTTGTGAGGCTGGGTTTGCAGTCAGACCTGGTAACCTGGCTCATTGTTTCAGACAGAGTATCTGTACAACTAGACTTTGAGTAGGAGATGCTGGCAAGGTCAGATGCATTCTGGTTACTCCAGCCACGTGTATCTACTGGCTTCTACCCCATTACAGGAAAACCCCTCTCTGATTCCTGGAACTCAGCACTCAGAGGACCCCAGGGATGGCAAGGTGACACTGCCCCAGAGGAACTCAGCCTGGAGCTGTGCAGGAAAGGCTGGCATTTTTATTGGGTTGCAGTGGAATCCCAGGAGTATTTGCAGCAGCAAAGGCTCTACATAGGCCTCCCCACCACACCAGGGGCCCTGCCAGAAGCTACCAGACAGGGTGCCCATAACACCGTGGGTGGTGCATTCTGTGGTTGCAGTAGCTCAGGTGTGGTGGCAGAACCCATTAAAACGAAGGAATACAAAGCAACATGATTTGGAAAGTCCATTGCTCCTGTCCCCAAGGAGAAGAGAAGGCTTGTGGTTTTGGGAAGACCCCTTCCCCCAATGTTCCTGTTGGAGCCCCCTGGAGGAGACCCCATCCCATCCATCCTCTAACCCCTTCCCCTGCAGCCAGGTCTTGAGAGGGGAGGCGTCAAGTCTCCAAGTTGTTTCAGTAGAGATGCAGTGTTCTGAAGGGATAAGCTATGGGTCGGAAGACCAACTAGGAGGGCAGGGAAAGGGTTCTGTTCAAATGCCCACATGCAAAGCTTGAGCTCTGCCACCCCAGAGGAGGCCAGGTTACCAGTGAAGCTGGTGTTGGGATGGAGGTCCAAGGTGAGGAATTGCACTGGAAGCTCATGGCTTTCTGGAGCCAGGCCGCTGCCCCCACCCCGGAGACGAAGTTCGTGTGGCTACAGGGTGAGCTCACTATCAGTCAGTGGCGGCCGTGGTGTCCTCAGAGCTCCATCAGTGCCCCAGGGAAATCACGCACCCCCGGCTGAGCTTGTGCCCTCCAGGTCCGGCGAGCTGTCCTCAGTGGCAGTGGCCGAACGCGTGCTGTCTTCGCGTATGCTGTCCTCACCTAGAGCCGGTTCGGGGCTGGTGGCACGCTGCTGCTGCTCTTTGAGCTCTGAGTAGGAGCGTGAGAAGGTGTGGAAAATGGAAGTGACCGGGAAGGCCATGAGCAGGATGCCGCTCAGTATGCTGCTCAGCGCCACCACCTGGCCGGGTAGGCTGCGCGGCACCATGTCGCCGTAGCCCACGGTGGTCATGGAGATGACGGCCCACCAGTAGCTGGCTGGCACGCTCGAGAAGTCGCGGTGCGCGCCCAGCTCACGTTCAGCCAGGTGAACGAGTGGCGCGAAGAGGGCCATGGCCACGCAGAGGAAGAGCAGGAGCAGCCCGAACTCGCGCGCACAGCGGCGTACAGTGAGGCCCAGAGAGCGCAGCCCCAGTGAGTGGCGCGCCAGGCGCATGACATAGAGAACACGCAGAGCACGCAGAAGGCGCAGCACCAGCCCTGCGCGCTCCAGCAGCTTGCTGCCTGCAGGCCCAGCCGCTAGGCCTAGGAGCAGGGAGACGTAGAAGGGCAGGATGGCCAGGATGTCGATGATGTTGAGTGGCGTCCGCAGGAAAGCGCACTTACTCTCAGCCTGCAGCGAGCGCAGCAAGAACTCAAAGGAGAACCAGGCCACACACACCGTCTCCAGCACGAAGAGGCTGTGGCACTTCGCGGAGCACTCGCCCTGGAGAGGAGAGGGGACAAGCGTTGGGAGAGCGCTCATCCTTGGAGCTGAGAGAGGATACTGGGTTGGGACAGCGCACCAACCCTCCAGGGAAAGTGCACCACAGACTGTGGAGGATAGGGAGGAATCCTGTTGAAAAGACCTAATTCGTTTTTTGGTTTTGGTTTTTGTTTTTCAAAGGAGTAATGATGGAAAATTAGAAGATAGACTGTTGGATGCTAATTTGCCAAAATCTCACCATTTTGTATTACCAACATGAGCTAACAATAAAAATGTTTTTAAAAATAATTTAATTGGACATTCAGTTTTTAAAGATTTAATTGAACATTAATTGATATGAAAGCTGATACACTCTGTTGAACAAGGAAACTGGAAAGTTACTTAAAACCTGGAACCACTTAAGGCCTCTGAAATGATGACCCTCCATGACTACAAGAAAGAAGAAAGGGGCCTCTCCCCACCCCTCGGGCTACGGCTCATCCCAGGGTCGGGTTTCTGCTGTCCCGGCCATGGCTCTCAGGATTCACTGGCATAGCTGTTCGCTGATGCTGGGAGCCACCACATCATTCTGGCCCACCTGGCTGGGGACCTGGGGCCAGGTCTGGTCACAGCGCTGCTCACCCCTTACCTCTTGCCAGTGAGAGCTCCGCGGGCCAGCCGCAGTCCGCCCCTTTCCGGGCAGTGCCACAGTCCGCCCCAGAGACAGATGTGTGACCATAAATGAAGGGGTCTTCGAAGCAAGATAAATGTCAGGGGGAAGGAGAGCTACCATCACTAAGGCCTGAACATGAAGTTACTTTCAGATTTAAAAGACTATTAAGAGACAAGATGGGGACCCCTGGTTCTGGAAGGAAAAGAGCACCTGTGAAAGATCGATTTTCTGCAGAAGATGAAGCTTTGAGTAACATTGCCAGAGATGAGGAAACCATTGCAAAGAAGTGAAGTAACTTCCTCAAGGCAGAGGCAAGACTAGCAGCAAAACGTGCTGCTCAGGCAGAAGCAAGAGATACATGCACGAGAGAACTGGAGCAACAACAAAAAGAGTTGGATGAAAAATCTGACAAACAATATGCTGAAAATTATACAAGGCCTTCATCTCGAAATTCTGCTTTAGCAACAACTGAGTGGAAACTCATCCAGATGAGGAAGTGGAGACACCACCAGCTTAATAGATCCAGATACCTCATTGAGTGAATTGAGGGAGTCTTTGTCTGAAGTGGAAGAGAAATACAAGAAAGCCATGGTTTCTAATGCACAATTAGACAGCGAGAGGAACAATTAGATATACCAGGTAGATACCCTCAAGGATGTAATTGAAGAACAGGAGAAATAGTTGGCAGAATTTTATAGAGAAAATGAAAAAAAAAAAGTTGGAAAGGCAGAAACGTGGCGCGCTGAAGCATAAGATGGATGAATTTAAAGGCCTTCAGCAAAGAGACGAGCTCATTGAGGCCATAGAGAAACAGAAAGAATACACTGTTTGCCTTAGGAATGAGTGAGATATACTCAGGGAGGAACTGGCTGATTTACAGAAGACAGAGAAGATAGGAGAAACATGGCTCAGCTATAATCCCTGATGACACTCCCAGTGGTGATGTCAATCATGACCAGTGGTTGGAGCCATTACTGTTGTGTCTCAGGAAGCTACTCAGGTCTTGGAGTAGCAGGAGCAGGGCCACTAGATGTAAGGCTATGAAAATTTGCTGGAGCAAAGGAAGAGCTATTATCACAGATTAGAAGGCTGAAGCTGCAGTTAGAAGAATGGCAAAAGTGCTCCAGGAGCGATGGCACAGAAGGTGACCTGGCAGGACTGCAGAATGGCTCAGACTTGCAGTTCATTGAAATGCAGAAAGATGCCAACAGGCCAATATGTGAATACAAATTTAAGCTTTCAAAAACAGAACAGGCTATAACTACCTTGGGGCAAAGTATTAACTGGCTTGAGGGACAGGTGCTGAGATACAAAACTGCTGCTGAGAATGCTGAGAAAGTTGAAGAGGAACTGAAAGAAAAGAGAAAGCCACAATGAGAATTAAGAACAGCACTGGACAAGATTGAAGAGATGAAAATGACCAATAGCCACCTAGCCAAGTGACTGGAGAAGATGAAGGCCAGCAAGACAGCACTTACGACCAACCAATAGGGAGGTCGCTCTGGCCTGTGTGCAGCTCCTTGGGGCCTGGCTCACTGGGACTGACTTTTTGTATATTGACACAAACCCCTTTCTGTACTGTTTGAGTTTTATTAAAATGAGCACCTTTGTATTTTATAATTTATGAGCATGAAGCAGGTTTGAATCTTCATGAATGAACACTTTGTATTTTGTTGTAATTTTATTCTAGACTAAGAGCTGGTCTTATTTTTAATTTCCGAAGCAAGTTTACTGAGCATTTCCCCCCAGCTGCCTCAGTGACCAGGAACTCAGAGGCCTTGGCTGGGGTCTAGAGGACAGCAATTCTAAGTGCTCACTGAGACACTTGCTGGAGACCTCAGAAAACGCAAGTGCATTCTGCACAGTGTAGTGCAGACTTCAGTGATCTCCATGGGGAAGAAGACATTTACCCTTCCTATCAGCACTTCTATTTTACTGAAGAAAACAACTTCACAGGTGGATAATCTTGTGAAGATTATCACAAGTTTATGTTTGGAGAGGAAAAAACCTTTTTTTTGTAAAATATTTAAATATATATAAGAAAATGTTACAATAGGCAGTGTACATAAAACTTGCTTTACTGCATGGGACGGGGAAGTCCAAGACTTTTACTCTTAAAGCAAGAGTTGGATCGTGAGTCTTCCATATCCACTATGCTGTACCTTGTAAACTATTTTCATCTGCTGCTTATTTGTGAAATGAAACCTCAGACATCTTAGGGCCCTAAGGTGGAGGAAGGGGCAGGAAAAGCAAGTAGGAAATCTGCCTGAAGATTCTATTAAACACTTTTGCCAACCAAAAAAAAAGGGTAAAAATTACCAAACCACCTAACCTACCTATCTCCCTAAGAAAACTGGGAAAAGATGAGCAAATAAAACCTTTACCGGGGATTTAGCTCCGTGGTTCCACCACCTGTCTCATGAGCTCAAGGTACTGAGTTCGATCCCCAGTACCAAATACATACATACATACATACATACATACATACATACATACATACATACGTTAGCAAGTGGAAGGAGGCAATAAAGGTTAGAACAGGAGTGGATGAAAAAAGAAAACAGGACACTGAAGCCATAATGAATGACAAATCAAATCTCTAGCTGGTGTGACCAGGAGACAGAAGACTCAAGCTACCAGAATCAGAAATGCAAGAAGAATTTTTGGTGCCTGGAAAGAAGTAAATATAAGGAACCATAAGCAACACTCCAGATAATGGCAGTGACCAGCTGGATATCTTAGATGAAATGTATAAACTTTAGAGGCAAACCACAGAAATGGGCCTAGGAAGAAACAGACCATCTGCATAGAACGAAGGCAAGTGAGCTGACAAAGTACTCACAAAGACTGGGCCAAATAGCTTCACTGCTGAAATCTGACAACAAAATGCTAATAAATCTTTGCAAACAACTAACATACACTGGAGTCTCAGCTCATTTTGTCAGGCCAGTATTTACCCTGATTGAAAACAAACAAAAAAAGCCGTAAAAAAACTGCAGACCAATATCTCTCACACATACCGATGTAAGAAACCTAAGCAACATACTAACTGAATCCAGGAGCAAATAAAAAAACTGAATTGGGTTCATTCAGGGAAGCAAGTTTTGTATCTGAAAATTAATACATTATAATCATAACTGAAAAATCATACAAGCATATCAACAGAAAAAAAGACTTTGACAAAAAACACATTTTTTTTTCATGACACTCAACAAGCTAGAAATTTCCTTTAAAGGGCACCCACAAAATTCTGACATAGATGACGACTGGATTCTTCCACTAAGATCAGGAACAAGACAACTACACCTGCTCTTGTCACTCTTCAAGTGTGTACTAAAAGTTCTAGCCAGGATAATCAGGCAAAAGAAAGGAATGAAAGTTACCGAAGTTGCAAAGGAAGAAACTAGATTCTATTTGCAGGTGGTACAACCACTACATCCACTATAAATACCCTAGTAGAGCTAACGAATGTGACAAGGTTGTAAGACATAACCTCAATATACAAAAATAAATTCTGTAGCAAACTTAAAATGAACAATTTGAAAATGAATTTAGGAAAAAATTCCATTCAAAATAACATGGTGAGGTATGCCTGTAATCTTAGGACTCTGGAAAGCTGAGGCAGGAGGATTACATGCTTGAGCCCAGCCTAGTAGAGAATTCCTTAAGAAATACAAGTTGCCCATTAGCAATGAAAGAATGCTTGACATCACTAATCTTGAGGGAAATGCACCAAAAAAAAACATCACCTTGAGCTTCTTTTCATACCTAGTGGAAAAGTAGAATCAAGAACAGACAATAAAGGCCGGGGATTTAGCTCAGTGGTTCCACCTCCTGCCTTGCAAGGGCAAGGTCCCAAGTTCAATCCCCAGTACACACACACACACACACACACACACACACACACACACACACACACGTGAGACAATAAGCATCAGGAAGAAGATGGGAAACTAGAATTTTCAAATGCTGCTGGTGGGAATATAAAATAGCTCAATCACTCTGGAAAAACTATATGGCAGTTTCTCAAATGACTAAGTAGAGCCAGGGATTTAGTTCAGTGGCACTGTGCCTACTTCACAAGCGTTAAGTCCTCAGTTTGATCCCCAGTACCCGCCCAAAATTCAAATGACTTAAGTAGAGTTCCTATCTGACCCAGCAACTCCACTGAAAGGTGTTTTTTCAAAAAGAGGGAAGCATATGTCTACCCAGAACCTTGCACATGAATTTTATAGCAGTCATTCATAAGAGAAGCAAACCAACCCAAATACCCACCAGTGGGTGAAAGGATAAACAAAATGTAGACTACAATAGAATCCTGCTGGGTCATAGAGGAATGAAGTACTGG